TGTTTAATATGTTGACTTGGTGAAGAAACTTTTATCATTAACTTGGAGTGACATGTGATAATTAATTGAAATAATAAGGATATATAAGATGGTATTTTTATTTATGTAGTTATACAGGCCCGAAAATGTTGATAATTAATATTTGTAAGAGAATTTGGATAGTTATATTTAATGAAAAAAATTAATTACATTTTATTTATTTACAAGGCTCAACTAATAATTTCACTTGTAAGTGACAATAATAACATATTTACTCTTTTTTTTTAGTGTAATGGGACACATATCCTGTTCTCTCCTAAAAAGAAAACTTAATTTGTAATGCAGTTTTTAAGTGAGATGGGAGGATTAGGATCACATGCAGTTCAAAAGGAATTGCAGTGTCATTCAGTTTTAAATACAATGATATATAATTTTTTTTTTTTTAACTTTTATTCATTTTAATTAATATAATTTAATCTGTAAACTTTATTTTAAAGATTGGGATTCATGAAGTTAAAAATTCAAGTGCAAGAGCACGTACTCTGCAATGAGAAAACGCAATTGATAATGCAAAGAGAGAACCAGAGAGAATTTATATTATTAGCGTGTAATATGAATATATGAGAACTATCTGCCATCAATAAATCATAATCAAATTAAGCATAGAAATGCGAGTAAAAGTGGGCAGAGCTCAGCAAAACCTCTTTGTGCGTGAGAGGGTTGTCGCAGAGTAAAACTTTGCATATAAGTTAAAAAGCAAAGTAAAATAAAATAAAATTCTTCAAAATTAATTTTAATTTGACCTTGAACATGTAAAGTCTTTGTATTTGATTACTCTAGTTAACTTGGCCTAGCGCTCCACCAAAGTTTTAATAATGAATTTTGTCAATATATATAAACTCTTAAAGTATTTTTTATTTAATAACTATTTCCATATTTGATCATTTTTGTAATTACATGAAATAAGCTTTTACGAGTTGATGCTAAAAAAAATCATTTTACTATTAATGTGTTAATTGAGCTGTAGTGAGGCAAAAAGGTTGGGGACATTAAAAAAATGCAACATGGCTTTTCAAAGTGTTTGATTTCATGACTTAGAAATGGAAACGCCACATGGAAGAAAGTTCCATGTCTTGGGGTACAAAATGTACATATATAATTTTGTTGAGTAGTGGTGCCTCTTCTTTCTTTGTTGGCTGTTTTCTTCTTTGACGAAAATTAACGACAGATTCTCTTTCACTGCCTTGATGCAAGAGAAAGCGTAAAGACACCCATTAGTTTTTCTCTTCTTGGAGAACTGTAGTGGTTATCCTTTCCTTTTCACTTTTCCTTCTTTTACCTTCAATTTTATGAGTTCTTTCTTTAATTTTAATGTAGTACGACACAATTAACTAATTCAATATTAATACATATAATTATCAAAAAATCAAATAATTACATGATTGAATACAAATATTCATACCTTTAGTGTGTATATATATGAAACAATCAAATTATATCTATGCAATTTTTATTGAATATTACAATGATTAATAATTTTTAATTGAATTATATTTTCTCAAATTAAACACACTATTAAATTGAAAATTCCTTGTACTTGGATTATATATGCAAAATTTTGTATTAATAAAAAAAATTTAATATCTCATTTATATAAATTAAAATCAATGTAATATAATGTTCAAAATATATTAAAATATATATAACTTGACTATCTTTATTGTTGTATTTTAACAAGATTTAACATTAATATATTAAAGATAATATAAATTATAATTCAACAATTAAGTTGACAAAATTTACTTTTTATACAAAGATATTGATGATGTAATTGTTATAAAAGTTATATATCAAATATAAATCGATCTATCCTTATACATGTTTTTCATGTTTGTGTGTTCTTTTAATATGAGGTTGAGAAAGATGAATCATAATCGTAAAATAAAAGGTTAATATTATTTTTTTAATATAAGAGAATGAAAAAAATGAATCATAATCATAGAATAAAATGTTAGTATTATTTTTTAAAAATATTTTTTTTTTTTTTTTTTTAAATAGTTATGTAATTGTTAAATAACTTTTAATATTATTTATTTGTAGTTGTATGATTCAATTATAGTTCTTTTTTTCTTATGTACAAACAATGTTCACCTTTTTTTTATCTATAAGAATCAAACTTAGTACTAAAAGTAATTATATATAATAAGACATGGATAGTTAAAAAAAATAAATTATATAGGGCTATATGTATTTCTCTCATGCTCTTATATCTCACTTGATACCTTCTTTTCAAACTCGTAATGATTTAAATAATATTTTAGTTCTTATAATAGAGTAGCTTTTATTTTCATCCTTTTTTTAATTTCACTTTTACCCTTTTTATAATATTTAATCTATAACTTTAGTCTCTTAATTTTTAATTCTACAACTTTAATTTTTAAATTTTGTAAATTGTGCAATTTGGATCTAATTGTTATTCATATGTTAATCATTAAAATTATAATATTGACTTTGATTTGATATGAAGTAAATGATATGAAAATTAATATTTAATAATATTTAGGTTAAATTATATTTTATTAATATTTTAGGCTAAAATTATAAATAATGTGATATTTGATATGTTAAATGTTCATCCATTGTCGATTAAATTTTAAAATTGAAAATGACTTAATATTTAAGTAAATGATGTAATAATAAATATTTGATAATATTTAAACTATATTGCATTTTCTCTTTTTATAGCTTATATTTTGCAAAAATGAGAATAAAATTATTAATTATTTTAAATATTATTATATATTAATAATTATGTTATTTACTTAGTGTAAAGTTATTATCAATGCTAAAAATTTAACCAACAATAAATGAATATTTAATAATTAAATAAAAAATATAAATTTTATAAAATTACGAAGTTAAAAATTAAGAGATCAATAACGCAAATTTAGTATCATAGGAGATTAAAGTGTAATTTATAATGGATCAATCTGCCATGGCTCGTGGAGTTGAGTCAAATTGTCCAATTTTATTTTATTTTATTTTCATTTAAAATTTAAAAAAAATTAAAAAATAGATCGGGTAAGATTCTAGCTTAGAAATTAGTAATCTAGCTTATCATGATTGAGTTGGAATAACCATCTTTTATACCTGTAATTTATTTTTCATTTTTTTTTACTTCATCTTAATTTTGGATGTTACTTTCAATTCCTATAAATTGTAATTTTTACATAAAAAAGAGATTGCACGCTTCCAATGAAAATACTTTATCAACCAAAAGATGAAGCAAATAATATAAACACACAAGGGCAGTGCACAGTGAGAGATGGAGAAGCACATGATGATTTTGGTGAGTGCATGTGGCACGCCATACCTCCCATGCAGATAACAGCATCATTCTATGCTTTATGTTTGCAATAGAGGGCGTAGACAAAGAAGTGGACCATTACCTAGCTACTTGGGACAAACTAAAAAACATACATCAATTATTTACGTTTTTTTGGGAAGGGCATTGCCATTGTAATGTACCTAGGACTAGGAGAGAAAGAACTTGTAGGCATAGGTTTGATCATTCTTTCTTTTTGCCATTTTTCACTCAAGACTGTAGCCAAAAGTTATGCAAGTTCCAGGAGTTTTGCATTTTGCCTCCCTTCAACGTCAAGATGAAGTAAAAACCCACTCTTACTTTTGGTATGCATTGACTACAAGTATCATCTTTTCTGAATATTATCTGAAGTGTAACTAATTAAATTGTTCTTCATATATATCAACTAAGGAGTAAATTAAAGTTATAATTGACGATATAAATAATTTATAATTTGTTCTTTAGTTTCTTTTTAAAAATGTAAATTAATAATAATTATGACACTATATTTCCTTAAATGCACCTTTTAGTACTATTGATTTAGGAAACCCTTTCAGACACAAAGCTAGATTACGTACTACAGTGAGTTTTTAGAGATATGAAACCCTTTCAGACACAAAGCTAGATTACGTACTACAGTGAGTTTTTTTTACCAGACATAATAAAGTATTTTTCAAACATAGAACTATAAATAATCTTCTTCTTACCAATATGCTTAAAGGATTCAAACTATTTATTCATTCTATCCAGTTTTGTTGGTAAAGTAGTGAGATTTAAATGAGTATCTAACACATAAAAATGCAAAATCAGTCCTTATTTAGCATGAACACAAAGGTCTTAAAATCATTTTCTTTTTCTTTGAACATGGGTCTTAAAATCATTTCAATTCATATAACATTCTGATATTTGAATTGCATTTAGACATCATACGAGTCCATTTTCTAACGGGTATTTTCTGCCATGCCCAAAGATATCGTGGGAACAAGGCCTAAAAATCATATGGGCCCGCCTTGTTACACTTAAGATAAGCCCAGGAACCCTAAACAGGGGGTAAACCCAATCCAAAACAAGCCCAAATTGCATGACAAAAAATAAAAAATTGAAAAACAAGCTGCTATTTATGCTGGATCTGGATCATGTCCATGACGACCAAAAAACAAGTTGCTGGACAAAAAATAAAAATAAAATAAAAAGAAAGATAATGTGTTGATTGGGTGAAGAACATGTGGCTATGTGGCACCTACGTGGCCTTATCCAGCAAAAACTGTTGTGTTGACAGTTGTGGACATTTTTAACCTGAAATCTTCACTTCACAATCTCTCTATCTCTCAATCTTCATCATCAACGAGTGTTTGTGCAACCATGGCATCCACCACTCTATCTCCTACAACCCCATCTCAGGTATTCAAAGTAAAATGTTACTTTTTCTCTATAATGTATAGCATACATATGCTTGGTGCTTCTGAATTAACAAGGGTCTTTATGTTTTGTGATTTCAGCTATGCTCCGGTTTTAG